TTCTAAAACCCGTTTTAAATCACGAGTCTACGGTTAACGCCAAGGAAAAAATATAACTGACCATGAAACAGCCACATCTGTATCGCGTTACATAATAATGAGACGTATGTTTGACTCGGAACATGGATTTCAGTAACAATTTGAATATATGAAAGGTATTTGTTAAAGGAACGGGTCTTAATATATATTGGAGTGATAATACAAGATAGACACTATAAATCAGTACACAGTGTGGAAACAAATATGACCAACGGTTGGGCGATAAGGGTAATGCATACTGAAGGTTGGTCACTCACTTTGATCAACTTTAGAGTATGCTCTTCTGGAATCACGCCCCCTGGAAGTTCACGCAAAAATAATTTTAAAACACCAGCCAGTGCGTAAATTTCCACATTTTCTGTAGGATGAAGGTCTGTGTTTGGCGAAAACTCCAAGTCCCGCTTGAACAGCTCAATCAGTCGAGCGCTGCCGTTGATGCGGAAAATACCTTCTACCTCAGTTCCATGTTTGAGTAAGCACTGACACAAATTGGTGACAATTGCAGGAATGCGAGTGGTTGACTTAGAATCCAAAAGCAGTTTCAAAGGTACACCGAAAACTTTGGAACGTGACGGAGAAAACTTCTGTTTGGGTTTGGGACTTGTGTTGATCTTGCGCATAAATTTGTCCATTTTATTCCATCCCTAGGGTTCTTCGGGTTAGGGATATTATGCGCGTTCTCTGCAAATCATACATGGAGAATATTACACTATAGAAGAATGACAACTTTTCTAGAAAGCACGTAATTCATACGAGTTACTCCCTGTTACAAAAACCATGAATGTTCCGGGTTGAGTAACCAGAAAAAAATGACCACAGGACAATATAAGGGACAACTGGAAATTAGCCTTCGAAGAGAAGCCCCAAAGACTTGCTTAACACTTTAAGCTAATCAAGGAAACTATTTAAATGTCAGTCAAAACAACGATGGATTCACGCACACTTAAGCACAAACGATCGATATCGTTAACTTCAGCTATTTTGCTGAACCTATCACCACAAGACTGCACCTTGACGTGGTGTGATGGATTACGTGCCTCCATGACCCTGAGGGTTACACCGGGTGGCTTTTCACAGCTGCAGATACAATCACGTCTGCAAAGTCGATGGGTAGAGGCCATACAAAGGTCAGTCTCATAAGGCTCGCTGCTTTCGAATCTTCTGGCTCCCTTGGGCTATCCAGGCTTGCCCTTGGAAATGACAATCCAGCAAATAAACACGGGAAAGGGGAGTTAACCGACCATAAAAAACGCTAGGTGGTAGGAGCGAGGTACTTCGGGCTTCATCTCGACGGTGGGAGAAGTTTTCGCACTTCGTTGAACAGTTACCGCTCACCCAAGCTGAGCAGTCCCCGGCCAAAAAAGATGCTGTCNCTCACCCAAGCTGAGCAGTCCCCAGCCAAAAAAGATGCTGTCCCATCGACGTTCCGTTTGTCTCACTGGGTGTATGAGACTAAGGGCCAACCCCGAACGAAGACCGACGATAAATATATCAATGAACAACATGCAGAACCGTAACCCGAAGGCCTTCCTTGAAGGGTCTGTAGAAGCTCCAACACAGGTGCTTTGGTTACGCTCCCGCGTTGGATCTACGTCCCACTGCCTTTTGGATCAGACCTTTGAGTCGAAGGCTCGGGTTGAGGTTCCCAAACAAAAACCTCTTCGTCGATGTGGGCTACGGCGAAGAATGTAATGCCCCAAAGTCCTAGGTACCTATTTGGAAAACATTCTTCCACATCTGTCTAGTGATACCTCTCAATCCCGAATAGCCCCAGAGGTCTCCTGTTTACGCTACACATCGGATATCAGTCAGCGTTTCACCAGTAAGGATAAACAGTCAGAAGTTATGGAATTTTTGCAACCAAAGTTTCCTTCTCAGTCAGCCTCATTTGATTTGTGTATCATGTATCATATTGGTCAACAAGCTAGCTTAGCTAGAACACTTGAAACTTTCGACTTAGTTTCAGTTTTACAACCATTAACCATGCACTTTCGTGCGCCGGTTTTGGTTGCTGTCTTTTGGTTGCCCATTTGGATAAAAGAGCGAAATGAAGATTGGAATGTCGAAGCAAATTCAAGCGGAAGATGAGGAATACATATAGAGTG